AAATTTGCTGGGAAAGTTCATTATCAGGTAGGCAAACCCGCGGAAATCCTACAGACTCCTATCTTTTAAGTCTGCTTGCAGACAATAAACGGACGAACAAATGCATAGAAATCAATCCAATCCTCTGCTGACTCAACAGGCTTACCGTCCTCTAAATCGTTGATAAGCCGGTCCTTACCTTGGACTGTAATAGCAAAAGCATGCCCAACGTTTTGATGGTTGTAAGCAGCAACAACGTAGACGCCACTCTTAGGCATGATCTCATTGAGCATACGGACACCACGTCGACCACGAACCGCTAAATTATCCAAAGCAATGGCTCTGTAAATGAATTCACGGCCAGCATCACGTAAGCGACGCAAGAAGACGAGAGCGACCTTCCACGACGTCCCCTTCGTTAAGTCCTCCCCTCGTGAGGTCCTCTGGTGCTCCACAAAGTCGTCAATGTCTTTCTTTGTCACGATATCCAGACGACCGATTAATTCCGCTGCACGTTTCAACGCGTGGAAAATGCTGCGTTCCTCTATGTCTGCACCGATAGCATTCTTGCCAAACTCATCGGTTGGCCAGAATTTAGCGAAGGTCTTGACTTCAGAAGCTTTCCACCTGTCCACCAACTCGATCGCTTTACGAAAATTATTGGCAAGCAGCTGAGCACGGGGCTCCCACGTTTTCTGGTAGTACCGCCTTTTCCTGATGAAAGGATTAACCCACAGCACTTGGTAGTTGTATTCCAGTAGCGTGTCACCACGCCTGTCATTAATTCGACCAATCTGCCACGTCTCTTTGGTTGATGCATTTGTGTCACTAGACACATTGTCGTTGTCAGAATTTGTCGATTTTGTAGTCACAGTGTGACAAATGAAATCATCATTAATTTTTTCTACTTTAGTGACATCTGGCCACATGTGCTCGAGAAGCCTCCTCCTCCAGCGTGGCGATGAGAACTGGTGCAAGCTGAAGTGCTGTCCGCGTCGCCCTATTCTTCTTCTCCCTCATAGAAGCTGCGGTGTTGGAAATCCCACGTGAACTCTAGCTACAGATGTAGTTAGGATGTTCCCACAACAATACGTCTACTAGGATAGTAAACGATCGCTCGGTCGGACCTGAAGATCCCAGTTCTGTCCTTGCACCGGGACAAACTGGACCTTGTAAACTACTTATATAGTGCAACCAGTAAAATAAGAGCACGCTACTAGCACGAGCAAAGCTAGCAGGTGTTTTGAACCCTCGTGGGCCCAACAGCAGAAGGGTACCAGTGCACGGGTAAGCCTTTTACGAGATCATCCGAGTGCTCAACACTCGGCTGGAAGAAATAAAAGGGAGGCAATTCAAGCACTCCCAGTCGTGCATAATAGGCAACAATAAGCCGTCACGTAAAACCTCCCGATAATAATGCGGCCAATAGCACAAAGTCTCTTGGCCTTGCCGGATGAACCCTCGCTACAGAGCTTCGAGTTCACCGACGGAAATGACACACTCAAACAAGCTCGATCTCGATTATAACATAGAATGTGCGCACTTCGCTCAATGTGCTTCAGAGGAAGGGATGTTGTTGAAGTCGCCTCTAAACAGTATGACTACCTTAAAAGAATCTCTCTAAGACATTAAAATGAGATTTAGGAGGTCCTGCTTAAGCCGTAATGAATGGCTAAAAAATATTCTAACAATAATGGCTGGTGTGCAGCTACAAGTGGCTTCCTAAGACTAATAAAGTGCTCACTTCGTCTTTTGACGCCTACAAGTAGCTTCTTCTTCTTCTCTCTTCTTCTTCTCGACCTGCCTATCGAGCTATAAACTCGAATAGAATTTGGTTTAACTTTTAAGCCTACACTTCGTTTTCATTCTCGTGCCTCCCATATAGTCCTACGTTTACCTTCTTGTGCTTGCGCACGCCCTTCAGCTTTTCCAGCCGCTTGCGGAGTTCGTCCTACTTGGCGCGAGCTCGTTGATGTGTCTTATTAGAGTCATAAAGTCGCTTCAGAGAATCTATTTATCTGCATTACGAAAATCGTTACTAGCTCAATAAAACAGTAACATTCCGATTAATATGATAAGGCTGTTTGTATCGCATTAGCCTCGGCTGTTTGTCAAATGAACGTTGAATTGGACGAGAAGGCAAGAATGGTAATGAGAATTTGCGCTCTACAATTCCCTAAATGTTTGGCTGCGGTAATCTGGTCGGATGCGCGATTTGGTGGACTCCAATCGGGGCGCTAAAATACTAAAAAAAAAATACTTTTATTAAAATGCCTCTGAGAAGCTTTAAATATCGACAGGATAGCTGATCGCGAGCTATCGATTGTACTTGCGGTTTTTTTACTCGATCAGATATTTGCTGAGTTATTGCAATTTATTTCGGGGGCATCGGCTTGCGGGCCATCAACCTAAATTTAGAGATTGCATATCACCCCCTTACTAAAAGGCACAAGGCTTTTGCCAGTTTTGGGCGGCGTCCACATCTAAATTTTATTATTAATCATCGACATTATTCGCTATAGGTACAGTACTTCTTAGTATAAAGACCACAAAACTCGCATTCAGCCTAGCAAAACATTAAAATGCTGCAAATCCTAACTCAACAAGACTTGTTGAGTAATTAATAAGGACTTGTTACAGTTCCCGCCAAATCGTTAAGACCCCCGATTTGGGGGGACACTTTTGATAATATCTCGGCTTGTAGCCCGAGTTAGGAGCTGCTTCTTTGATATGTTCTCTCTGTTAGGCTTAGTAAGATGCCACTTGTTTTAACAACTTAGATTTCAATGTATCTGGCAGCGCTGGTATACAAATTCAGGGTTTTGAGACCAGCGCCAAATTATTAAGACCGCTTCCTTTTTATGATAGAAAGCTTTTTTATGAACAGACCATACAAACTACTTTATTAAAAGTTAGTACTTAGTCAGTCCACCTTTCTTCTTGATGACCGCTAAACAACGGCGGGGCATGGACTCTACCAGTTTAGCAAGTACTCCAGCTGAATCGAGTCCCATGCAGCCATGATAGCTGTCTCCAGATCAGCAACGTTTTGGTACTGGCGGACATGTGCGTACACTTTGGCCACCATCGCCGACCACACGTTCTCGATGGGGTTGCAATCTGGCGAGCGAGCTGGCCATACCATGGTGTTGATTTGCATCTCCTGCAAGAATTGCTTCGTTTCACGCGGGGCATGAATCGAAGCATTGTCTTGCTGGAATACAAAATCAACACCATAGTTCGAGTGAGCGAAAGGAAGTCGATATTCAGATAGCGTGTAGCCATAGGCAGCTAAATTATGACGTCCTTGCAAGACAGCCAGCTTACTCTTACCTGCTGCGCTAAAAGCACCCCACACCATGACACTCCCTCCTCCATTTTGGCGACGCAAATAAGACCGTGGAGGCTGGCGCATGTCCCGCCAGTAATATTTAAAACCGTCAGGGTCATCTAGATTAAGCTTCTTTTCATCTGCAAAAATTGTATAAACCCAAGTTTATTTTAAAAAAAAAGGTGAAACATGTTAGAATACGAAATAACCGCAAAAAAACTATGACAAGCTTACCAGGCTTCCGTATGTACTATTCCGCCTATTACATGGGTGCTGCCTTGTGCGCTGCCGTGGGGGGCAGTGTGCGATCCATCTTGGTGTAGACCAGATGGCTCACACGCTGCAGAACGCGCTGGATTGTCCTCACGGACGCTTTAATGACGAGTTTGTCCTTCAGCTCGGCGGCAAAGAGCGTGCCTGTCGCCGCGGTACGCACTAGCTGCCGAAGCTCTCATTCCGTCAGCACTGGTTGCCGTCCAGCCCTTACCTGCACACCGCTATCTTCTTGCCCCCCCCCCCCCGCTCCGCCTTGACTGCCTTCCGGACAGACGTGCGAGACCGGCCTGGCTTTCTGGCGATCTCGCGTAGCGAAACTCCTCCATCGTAGAGACCGACGATGAACTAATGTTCTTGCTGGGTGAGGGCCTTGTCATGGCCCATTCGAAAATGAAAGGCTCGTAGCCTCAGTAGCCTTCAGGTAACAGCTCGTTTCCGCCAATAATCTACTTTTTTAACCATCACTCTTATAATATAAAAGTTTGTATGGTCTGTTCATAAAAAAGCTTTTCTATCATAAAAAGGAATCGGTCTTAATAATTTGGCGCAGGTGACAAAACCCTGAATTTGTATACCAGCGCTGCCAGACACATTGAAATCTAAGCTGCTAAAACAAGTGGCATCTTACTAAGCCTAATACAGAGAGCATATCAAAATAGCAGCTTCTAACTCGGGTTACAAGCCGAGATATCGTCAAAAGTACATCGCCAAATCGGGGGTTGGCGGGCGCTGTGTGTCGACGCCGACTCTACAGTGTGGTCCACCAAAAATCCAACTCCACAGTGTGAAGTCGGATTTGAAGTTGCAACGATTGACGCGGACCAAATTCAGCTGAAACGCAAGTTTAAATGCAATCCAATTGGCCAATACTACAGACCTTGCAAACTCGGTATGATATGTGGCGTCAATTCACCGTCTCAGTGGAGACTTTCGCCGTGCCCATTGCGCGCCGCCATCTGCCGGACAGACGACTAGTGGAAGCAATTGGCATGTGACGTGGGCAACGACACATTCAAAATTGCCCACACATCGAGTGCTGCAGCCGTCGCACTGCGAGCCGCACTGCCAAAGTCCATTTCCATAGCGATGACCGCAGGGGAGTGCTTTCTGCTGCAGCTGCGAAAAAATCTCGCCACGTGTCCGAAGGGACGCGCTGTCGCAGGAGGGTCGTGCGAATGTTGACACAAGTGCGGTGAAGGGATGCGCAGCTCCCTTCAACCTTTCGCGATTAGTTATGACAGGTCATTTAACCTGAGTTTTGTATTGGTCTGATCCGAGCTGCTCCCGTATCCATCCTTAAGGGTTTTTGAAGTTTAGCGTCTGCTCCCGTCAGTCTTACTGAAAACCAGTCAAACTGGCAAAAAATGGAATCTACTCGCACGCGCCACTCGATTCCCGCCCACCTGTCGCCAAAATGGCCACACCGTTGCCGGTCACAACGGTATCTGCCTTCTTCGTGGCACCTACCGCTACAGCACCAACAATGGCAACAATGGCACCATCCTCACTAAGTGATGACGATATGCTCATGGGTGAGATCCTTATGTCGCTCAAGCGGGATAGCCCTGCGCCCACGAAGACTCAGCTCGTCAAACTCGAGCCGCTGCAGCCCAGCTACCGTAGTAAGATGACTGGTCTGAGTGTGGAAGTATCACTTCCCTCTACGTCTCCCTCTGGTGCCGACAGCCCCGCCGACATCTTCAGCTTCGACGCCTTCAGTCATGTGAGCCCAATGGCCTACAAATTACCGCTGTATCCTGCACCTCCCTCCGCTGTTGCGCCAGCTCCGTCTCCTTCACAGTCAATCGCAGTCACACCCCGTGGCGGCAGCAAACGCTATGGCCCAGTGGTGCAGCTCGAGGATTTGAGAGAGTGCTTTAACATGCCTATTGCCGCCGTCGCGCGCAAGTTCGGCATCTGTGCCACCTTACTCAAGAAGATCTGTCGTCGTTACGGTATCCAACGCTGGCCGCATCGCCAGATCCGCAGCCTGCAGAAGAGCATTGACATGCTGCGCGAGTCGTTGAGTGTGGCAAAGGGCACCAACAAAGAGTACATTGCCAAAAAGATCGCTGCCTTCGAGTATACGCTCGAGTGCATCATGCAAGACCCCAACACGGCGGCTAAGGGCATTTCGGCTGGGCGATTGGCCTCCCCCGCTACCGAAGAGATGGTCAAGCGGGGCAACCGTGCCAGGAATCGCAGGAAAGCAGCGGCATCCTCTACGGTGCAAGCCGCTCTGTCCGACGAAGAGGCTTCGAGTGGGACTGCTGCTTCGCCCGAAGTCTCGCCGCCGGTGCAACAAGATTGGATTGCTGAGCCTGGGCAGTCCACTCAGCGTCTCAGTACTCGCCGGGCCAGTGTGCCAATGTCTCTTCAGTCCATTCTGTGCTGAAAAACAGCGGTGTACACTGAAGTGGGAAGATTGATGTCGTAGCGTAGTGTTAAAATAGGCACCAGTAAGTAGTAGTAGATCGTAGTAATGGATGCAATTCCTCGGGAATAAAATGACATGAAGTGCAAGTGGATTTATAACTGTGTCGGGAAGATCCAGAACAATAGAACTGATTGCTGCAGTGACACGCAATGGGATTCAGCATTTATCGGATGATTCATCGACTTCATCTCTCTGCCAGGAACTTGAGATTCTAAATGTACAGAAGTCCCACTTTTTAATATTACTGTAACCGGTTCCAACCAGATACTATTATGTTATCTTTATTTCTCAGCGCTAACCTATATGGCGTTTCAACAGGAAAAAATGCTCCATGTCAAATAGACATGGGGCATCTTTGGTCAAAGTTTCGCGTCGCTTCAGCAGATCTGGTTCAGCTCATTTTGCCCAGCAAAGCAAGCACTCAATGCAGTCTATGTCACGATAATAAGGTGAAGTTGCCGATAATGCAGATGGCTACTTTCGACTTCAACTTGGTGCTTACAAAAATCAAGATGACACCGGCATCACAGTGCTATTGCTGGCGGAGTTTACTTATAAATATAATTCTAAATGCATCATGCTGTGAGAAAACAAGAGAGCCGAAAGCATCGCCACCTTCGATTAACTCCCGCACGAAGAGCCAGCCATGGGCTGTGGCGAACATAAAGAGAAGTCCAATGGGCTCTGGTATGTGGGCGTGATTCTGACAGTCGTCGGCTCAATCTGCACCAACATGGGTGTGAACCTGCAGAAATTCTCCTTCATGCGTGAAGCCAAAGGCCGCAGCGTTGGCGACAAGCGAGGCTACTTCCGTCAGCCGCTGTGGGTGATTGGGCTGTTTCTCGTGGTCGGCGGCAGCATTCTAGACTTCGTAGCGCTAGGTTTCATGCCCCAGTCCCTTGCTACACCTGTTGGTGGATCGACGATGGTTGCCAATGTTGCCTTCGCGTCGCTGTTGCTCAAGGAGAAGTTCACTAAGTCTGACGCTATTGGCACCGCACTCGTGTTGCTCGGTATCATCGTCGTCGCTATATTCGCTGAAAAGGAGAGCGCGTGTTATACCGTCCACGAACTAATTGCACTCTACCGAGAGCCGCTCTTTGCGGTTTACGCGACGCTCATGGGCGTTTCGTGCCTCACACTCTATCTGCTGACAAAGAAGATGGAGCTCACACTCAAACAAAAAGGGAGGATGTCGCCTGAATACCAGCGTTTTCGAAAGCTCCATCCGGTCAGCTACCCAGCTCTGTCTGGAATATTTGGTGCACAGTCTGTGCTGTTTGCCAAGTCGATGGCCGAGCTTATGAAGACAACAATCGAGGGTGACAACCAATTCGTGACGTTTGGTCCCTATGCTATCACGGTCAGCATGCTCACCTGCGTCTTTTTGCAGGTCCACTGGCTCGCCCACGGTCTGCAGAAGTTTGATGCCGTGTTTGTTGTGCCTGTATTCCAATGTTTCTTCATCTCCATCTCCATCTTCGGTGGTGGTGTGTACTTTAAAGAATTTGCAAAGATGGCACCACTCGCACTTGGTATGTTCTCGCTTGGCGCGCTCATCACAATCAGTGGAGTGGGGTAAGGGAGCTCATCGGGGACATGCAGAAGCTCAGTCCAATGAGGAGACTGCGCGCGGCTACATGATGTTGGTGTTTATTCATCGAAGTCAGAAAGCTCGCAACCTCAAGGCTCGCTGGGCCAAAAATCCCAGTCCAGCGAACTGCTGAGTTCTCCCAGCAACATAACGTGGCTCTTGTATGCACGAAGAAGCAGCCCAATCCGGGCTCTTGTCCTACGTCACCGCGGCGCTCAAAAGCATCAGTGCTACCTGTCGGTCATGAAGGAGCTTCTGCGGTGACTTCAACGGCGTCGGTAACCCCAGCACCAGCTCCATCGTCGTCTAGCCGTGAAGGGAACGGGGCCACGAATTCGCCGTCAGTAGGCAGGAGAGAAACACAAGGATCCCCATCGTCACCTAGGAAGTAATTCGTAAGAACAGATCCTGCAAAATATATTAGATCTGAGAGACCTTGCTGAGTCTACTGAGACAACAGAGTCTTGCGGACGCCCTCGACCAGCTCGTCTTCGGGCTTGATTTCAACGGCAGGGAACTCGAACTCTGAGCCGGTGATGAGCTCGAAGAGCAGAATGTAGCGGCGCGAGAGCTCGCTCACAAGCTCCTTGGGGGCCTCCGGAAGGACGGCATCATTGTAGGGGTCGCATCGCTCCTTGAACACCCAAGGGGGGATTTCCTTGTCGATGTTCTCAGGCGACTTGCCCTTCAACCATGCGCTGCTCGGTACGAGTCCGCCAGCCCGTAGCGACTGGAATTTGGGGGTTTGAAATCTCATCGATAAGGAGATTCTCCCCCGTGGCCTCGTCGTAGCCGGACTCGTACTTTGGTGTCCAGGAGTATCAATCGCGCTAGCCGCCTGCTCTTTGACCGAAGGCGAACCAGCTCGAGCGTCTTCTTCTCGCAGTAAGTCCCACTGCTCCTGGGTCAATGCGGCCGCTACTGAACAATCTTCGACTCCCCGAAATCAACTCGTCGTGCTCCGTCGTCCCTGGGTCGTGGGCGGTCACGAAGGTTCTGCGGCAGCTTCTGGTGCTGCTTGTAGCCGTCCTGGAGCTTTGTGGCCGCAGAAGTCGCGGCTACCGTTTCTTGTAGTTGGTCCACATGCTCGTGCTCGTGGAGCCCGTGATGTAGCCACGCACCACAAATTCCACAGGGAAGACTGTGCATTTCTTGCAGAGCATGGCGGACGGGTGTGGCACACCAAGCAGGTGGTTGGCCACAATATGCTTGGTCTGGTTGAACCACCAGACGCTCGTGAGCGTCAGCACGCGACTCTTAAAGGGCACTGAAGCCAATGCGCGGTCAAAGGCCGACTGGCGGTCAGTGGACACCAACAGCACGCGGTCCTCGAACACATACACGTCGCGTACTTTGCCCGTGATCTGCTTGAAGGCTGGCAACTCCTTGCTGAGCGCGGCCAGCGACGTGGCTGTCAGCGTCCGGCCATTCTCGATCTTTGGCAGATATGTCTGCGTGCGCTTCTCGGCTTCGGCGACGATGACGCTCATGGTGGTCAATGTGATAATGGCTGGCTATAAGCTCGACTTCATCCTAATCTAAGCTCTATGAATGGTCCAATCAAGGAAGCAAGCGAAGAAATATAGCCAATCACAGTGGTGGAGTGTCCATAAATTGCAAAGTGGTGTTGGACTTGAGTGGCACAAGATCAGTGACACTCGCCAGTTCAAGTCGCCTGCTTTCCCAGCGCTGTTGTGACGGGGCTTGGCCGGTTTCGCGTGGACGGCACGCCATCGCCTGACCACACAGTCTGCGAGTGACATGCCCGAGCGTCGCCACGCTAGTGCGTGTAATGGCGTGACCAGGTGGCGAAGGATGTCCGGACAATGACGCGACATGTGCTTGCTGGGTTTATCAAGTAGAAATTGGGAGGGACACGCGACTATGGTATATTTCTGTATTGGTACGATAGTTATTTGCACAGGAAGACGTGGCTCGAATAGATAGCTCAAAATGCTCGAGGCCACATGAGGTGGTGAGCAGGAATGACAGACGTGTCTTCGTTGGTCGGTAGGTCCGACCACCAGCTGCTGGTGCTCGACGATGTGTTGTTAATCCGTCGACGCCTCTACGACGCACTCGACCTGCAATGCGACTTCGCGCTCGTGGGCCGCGCGCTGAAATGCCCCCACAATAGCGAAGTAGCTCAGTTGTTTTCGTCTACGGGGTTTCTGCGCACGTTCGCGATCGCGACGGCGACGTTTCTCCAGCTCGAACTTGATGCGACTGCTGACGGCCAGCAGCGCATTCACAGTCTTGGGCGGACCAGCAGCAGGGGTCTTGACTCGCTGTTGAATTTCCGCTTCTGGTTCCGACTCCTCCTCGATGAATTCGAAATCGAAGCGAGCGCGCTTAGCCGGGCCGCGCCCATGGGCTGGCGACACGGCAGGTGTGGGAGGCGCAAAACTCTCCAAGTCGCGC